GGAGCTTGGCTTCTCTGCGGCAGGCTGTGGGGGCTGCATGCTCTGGGCTGGCTGCATGCTCTGGGCTGGCTGCAGGCTCTCGGCTGGCTGCAGACTCTGAAGGCTCTGGGACTGGGACCGAGTCAGGCTCGGGGACTGGGACCGAGTCAGGCTCTGGGACTGAGACCGAGTCAAGCTCTGGGACTGGGACCGAGACTGGGTCTAGACAGGCTTCAGGTTCTGGGGTTTATTGTCTTATGGACCTGATCTCAATCAACAGCTAGTGATATGTTGGGATAGAGGTGAGGCCAGGTACAGAAATTAACAGTTTCTCAGCTACCCTGAGAAGTGTGTCTGAACAGTCTGGGTTATTTTTAGCTGAAGTCAACAGGTTTTGAAGGTTGGTGTTTATGTGATAGATCTCAGAGGCATCTATCACCCAAGACTTGTTTTTTTTGGTGACCTCTGCAGGAATGGTGTGGGAACACTGTGTAGACTGTTCTCCGGGGTGGCCCCCCTTCGTCAGGTCTTTAGACGAACGGGGGATGGAGAGCGGGGTGACAGGACTGATCCTTGAGGGAGCTTGGTGCAGGAGTGAGGTGCCAGATTCCACCCTCACCGAAGTACTAGGAGGTGAGGTGTCCAGATCGGCTCTCTCAACAGCACCGGAACCAGGTCTCGGAAACTCAGCCTCGTCAGACCGAGTTGGATCTGCAATCGCTGTCAGGGATGTTGGCGAAGGTTTCATGGATTGTTTCCGGTTTCGTCTTCTACCGCCTCGGCGGCGACGGTGGGAAGATGGGGCAGGAATGAGACAAAGCTCGTCCTCCAGCTCCGCGTCCTCCCCTAACGTCCACCCCGAGTAGCCGAGTGGCGCTAGAAAAAATTTTGTCTCGGGTGCCCGTTGTTCCCCCCAGGGCAGAGGCCTTCTCTCTTCCTCCAGAACCAGGAGAGGCGAAGACAAAAATTGCCGGGCAGTGGCAACTTCGTGTTCGGACGGGTTTGGTTCAGAACCCACCACACCGGATTACAGGCTCCCCCATCTGTGGCTCGTGACGGACAGGTGAGTGATGCTGAGAAGAACCCTGCCCGCTGGGTTCTGTGTTGGTCGCGTCGTTCTGTCAGGGTTTATCAGTCAGGAACGAACCCAATAGATGCAGGCAGGGACTCGGACTCAGAAGATACAAAAATAAATACTTTTAATGATAATAAATTAAATAGCTGACGTGGCAGCACACTTACAAAAATGGGAAAACAACTCGGGTCAGGACTGGTACACATCAGATCAGGACAAGACAGGGTAGACCCAACGACGACGCAACAATGAACAAGACTAACAGACAGACTATATACCCAGACAAGACAGGATGTGATTACAAACAGCTGGCACGAGACAAGGGTGAAATTAATTGGATAAATGATGAGACACACAAGGGAGTACAGACAAGGAAGGCCCACAGATGGCACCATCCTTACACATTTGCCATCACCACATCATTGCATTCAGTTTTTATTCACAATTTGTTTAGTGTCCCAACTTTTTTGGAATTCGGTTTGTATATTCATGTTAGGATGTTTGAGAGGAGCTACGTCTGTAGCATGTTAGTTTAGCAGTAACTGTGAGGCTGTAAGACGCTGCAGGTGTAAGAGACTCTGTGTGTTCAGGTGCATTAAAGTTGAAATGTCTTTAAACCCCCACACCTTATTGTCCTCAAGCTTCATGAGAAACATCATTTAGATGAGTAGTGTTGAACACAAGTAAAAAAAAGTCCAGTGGTGATGGTTTTTATTTCTCTATAAAGACAAATAGTGCCGACCTGACGCTCTGTGTTAAAGTGTATTAAAGTTAAAATGTTTTTAAAACCGCTGCTCTTTTTTCCTCTGCATTCCTTACTGATGCTGCTTCAGTCCCTGAAACCTCTGCCTGTATTAGTACGCAGGAACTGCTCAGTAGGCATGATGCGACCTGCTCTAAGATCTTAGACCTCGTGGCCCCGCTAAAAATCAGGCGACCAAAGCGGGCACCACACTCCTGGTTGAACGCGACCACTCGAGCGGCCAAACATCTATGCAGGAGAGCTGAACGCAAGTGGAAAAAGGACAAATTACAGGTTTCTTTTATTATGTTAAAAACATGTTTGAAAGATTATCAGAGCATCGTTAAATCTGAAAAGAACAAATACTTCTCCCAAATCATCGCTTCAAACAGTCATAATCCCCGTGTTCTTTTTAATACCGTAAATTCCATTTTAAACGTTCCTCGGTCTGCCAGCATGGAGGCCTCCGTTGACATCTGCAACAACTTCACCAGATACTTTGCTGATAAGGTAGAGTTGATTAGGTCATCCATCCCCCAGTCCACAACTGATCCCTCTGTCTTTGTCCCTTGCTCAGCTGTCTTCAAACAGTTTGAACCCATTTCACTCCCATTTCTAAACAAAGTTGTTGGTCAGATGAAACCCTCCGGTTCCCCCGCTGACCCCATTCCTGCGTCGTTTTTCAAACAAGTTCTACCCACGATTGGACCCTCTGTTCTTACTATTATAAATAGTGGTATTGTGACAAGTGTGGTTCCTGATGTTTTCAAACATGCAGTAGTTCATCTGTTAATTAAGAAACATGGACTTGACCCTTCGACTTGCTCAAATTTCAGATCAATCTCAAAACTTCCCTTCCTGTCCAAAATCCTGGAGAAAATAGTTTTCATTCAATTAAACAAGTTTTTGAATGAGAACAGAGTCTTCGAGATTTTTCAATCTGGTTTTAAGCAACTCCACAGCACTGAAACAGCATTAGTAAGGGTTTGTAACGACATTATGATATCAAACGATTCTGGTCATTTTGTGGTACTGGTGCTCCTGGACCTTACTGCTGCTTTTGATACTGTTGACCACAGTATCCTTATATCACAGCTGGAACAGTCGGTTGGGATCACAGATGCTGCATTAGAATGGTTCCGCTCATACCTGAGTGGCAGGAGCTTCTGTGTCAAGATTGGTAACAATGTATCTGCCTCATTACCTCTTTCTTGTGGGGTCCCACAGGGTTTGATTCTTGGACCCCTTCTGTTCTCACTTTACTTGCTCCCACTGGGGTCCATCCTGAGGAAACATGGTCTTTCATTCCATTGCTATGCTGATGACTGCCAGATCTACCTGCCTGTGAAACCAGCAAGTGTTTGCTCCATTCACCCTCTGTTAAAATGTCTGGACGACATTAAGGCCTGGATGGCTTCAAATTTCTTAAGTTTTAACGATGAGAAGACTGAAGTCATTGTCTTTAGCCCTAGCTCAACTGCCACCACTGATCCTGTCAACCTGGACTCTCTTCAGCCATATCTGAAGCAGTCTGGTAAAAATCTCAGGATGGTTTTAGACTCTGACTTCAAGTTTGACAAACAAATCAACTCTGTTCTGCAGAAAAGCTTCTTCCAACTCAGACAGGTAGCTAAGCTCAAGACAGTGTTGTCCAGACCCGACCTTGAGAAACTAGTCCACGTCTTTATCACGACCCGATTGGACTATTGCAATGCACTGCATGCTGGGATCAGCCAGGCCTCATCTCACGTCTTCAGCTCGTCCAGAATGCTGCTGCTCGGCTTTTAACTGGAACTCGTAGGTCTGAACATATTACTCCAGTTCTGTCCTCCCTTGACTGTTTGTACGAGGATAGTCTTTAAAATTCTTCAGTTGACCTTCAAATGCTTAAATGGTCTCGCACCCTTCACCTCTCTGAGCTTCTGGAACCTTACGTTCCCTCTCGGGCCCTGAGATCATCCGATCAGCTGCTTTTGGCTGTTCCAAAAACAAGAAGCTCAGAGGAGATCGGGCTTTTTCAGTCATGGGCCCCAAACTCTGGAACAACCTGCCCCCCAACATCAGGCAGGCCACCTCTCTTCAACCTGCCCCCCAACATCAGGCAGGACACCTCTCTTCAACCTGCCCCCCAACATGAGGCAGACCACCTCCCTTCAACCTGCCCCCCAACA